AAGAAAATGGTGAACTCATATGTCAAATGTTATTTAAAAAATTCCATTTTGTTAAATTGAGAAGCCAGTGTCTAAATATCCACCGTATGCTGATTTAAAGGGAACAACATTTCTGCTACTGCAGGAGCCCTTAACATTTAGCTTTTGGCATTCAAGATCAAATTTAATTGACAGTTATAAAGCTATCCTTTACGGTTAATATGCACGTGTACACACTTTGGCAGATATATGAGAAAGCAGGTGGTGAAGTTCATGCTGTTCAAAGAGGATTCCTGACCACTTTAGGTATCCACCTCCTACAATGTTTTCTGTGATCAGCCTGTCGTATATTTTCATTGAGGTGTTAGAGAGAGCCCAAATAGGCAAAGTAGCAAAACGGAGGCAAATCTCCCCCCACCCTCCCCCACTGGGTAGCCAAATCAGTACCTTAGAAGAACCATTAATTTGAACATGCCGTAATTATTTTCTCTGCATGTTTCAGTTTTGATTGTTTAATCAAAATACAGTATTTGCATTCATAATAAATGGAAAATGATCAGTAAGAAACCAGTGAAATTGTCTCTTCTTCCCTCATATTCCTAATTGCTTACTAATTAGTTGCTTCTAATGCTATGATTTCTATAATGCCATGCATTTGTGCTTTGTTGAATTGTTTAATGTTATTAGGGAAACCACTTAATGAAATCATTTGGTTCAAATGTCAAGGCTCTAGTAACAAAAACTACTAATGATTGTTTCCGTCACACAGTCTAATTTTTTTTTCTGACAAGCCTACCACCATTTCCTCTGAACAAAGCTACTTCTCTTTAATAGAATATATCTCCTACATGACCTGCTTCTCATTCTCACGCAGTGCTCTTATTTGTAAAGAAACGGGACTGGAAGGGACCTCGAGAGGTCTAGTCTTTGTATCAAAGCAACAAACATTTCTTCAGTTTAGGATTAGGGATGCTTGTCTTTTCTTCCTGAATCAACCGAAAACTGAATAGACCATGAAGAAAAAATCAGGTTGTTTTATTCCACTGTAATTACACAGCACCTCTCCTGTAGTCTTTACACAGACAAAGCTCTCATTCCTTACCTGAGTAAGGACTTCAATGGTAGAGCTGTAGAATTAAAGTTCATGGAATCATAGGACTGGAAGGCACCTCTAGAGGTCATCTAGTCCTGTCCCGTGCACTCATGGCAGGACTAAGTATTATCTAGGTGTGACGGTGCGAGACCCTGCAGCGCCTCCTGCTGGTCGTCTCAGGGAATTAGCTCGTCCAGCCTCTGGAGCGCCCTCTGCAGGCCGGTGTCCTGCTGCCGCTGGCCCCCATGTCCCTTCCAGGACCCAGTGCCCCTTGTCTTTGGGGTGCTGCCCCCTGGCAATACCCCCACAGTCTCAGGGTCTCCCCATCCAGGGGAACCCCCCAACCCTCTATCCCCGCCTTGCCTCAGTTGTAGGCTGCTGCCAGTCACCATCTAGCCCTCGCTCACTAGGGCAGACTGCAGTGTAACAGTCACTCATCATAGGCAAGGGGGGTTTGGACCTGCTGCCTCTGCCTACCCATGGGCTGCCCCCTGCAACCCTAGTACCTAATTGACCTTCCACTAGGCCGCAGCCTGGGGGGTTTCCAGGCCGGAGCTCCCCAGCTCCCTTGGCCTTCCCCCAGCCCTGCTTCAGTCCAGGTACCTTCTCTCAGCTCCCTGCAGCCAGGTCCCTCCCTCTCAAAGCTAGAGAGAGTCTCTGCCAGCTCCTGGCCCACTGCCCTCTTATAAGGTCCAACTGGGCCCTTATTAAGCCAGCTACAGCTGTGTCTGCTTTCCCAATCAGCCCAGCTTTCAGAGCTGCAGCCCTCTCCAGGGCTGCTTTTAGCCTTCCAGGACCGGAGCGGGGTGATCACCCCGCTACACTAGGCATCTTTTATTTTGCAAATTTAGTATGTCCCAGAAGGATAAAAGTATAGAGTTAAATTGATGTTCTTTAAAATTACAATGGATTAGCATGATGGCCCAGATCCTTAAAGGTATTTAGGCCCCTAATGCCCATTGGTCCAATGGGAATTAGGAGCCTAGATACTTTTGAGGATCCAGAACTGAGACCTTATATCTAGTATGCAGTGTTGTTGTAACTGTGTTAGTCCCAGGACATTAGAGAGACAGTTGGATGAAGTAATATCATTTATATATAACTTGTGTTGGTGAGAGAGACAAGCTTTTGATCTTACGTAGAGGTCTTCTTCTGAAGGCAGCAGTGCACATGCCTGGAGGTGGAAACAAAGGTGCCTAGGGAATCTAGAAAACATAAATTCCCCACTGGTAAAGTTTGTAGATTACACAAAAATCGGGGGAATGGTAAATAATGAAGAGGGTAGGTTCTCTGATACAGAGCAATCTAGATCTCTTGGTAAACACAGCGGTCTGATTTGGCATTTAGGTGTCTAAAGTGGCAGTTAGACACCTAAGTCTCTCTGTGATCCTAGCCTCCATGTATTCATTTAATTTGTTACGGTGTTGATTGCTTTTGTTTTCTTAATGGTAGGTTTAGTTTTAGTTATTTCTGACTACCAATAAAAAATCAAAAGCTAACATGGAGGGTCAGGAACACAATATCACATGTGGATGGAGCACCCAGGCTCATGTACTGGAGTACGAATACTAACATAGAAATGGAAAACGGATGTGCTGCTCCTGTGAGCAGAGCACACCAGGATATTAGGAGTTAGTAGCAATATCATGGATACAGCAACACCTGACACAAATGTAGAATGTTGCCATGATCTCATTTCTAGTATAATAGGTAATACATATTCTGTAGCTTATAATATTGTCTAGAAAAAAAAAGAAACAGTAAAACAATACACCCAGCAAAAAGGATAATTCTGAAAACCACTTCCCCCCCCCCATCCTGTTTTCAGGAGTACTGTTCCTACTATAAGGCCCAGATCCTTAAAGGTATTTAGGGGCCTAACTCCAGCTGAATTCAGTGAGGATTAAGCACCTAAATACCTTTGAGAATCTGAGCCTTAAAGCTTATCCACGCTTGCTTTGCTTGCCTAACAAATATGAAAGATGGCGCTGTGTGCAAAGGCAGATAACTCAATTTTTCATTGATTGAAAACCGAGAGAATTTGCCATTTTCTCAGCAATGGAAAAAGGAAAACAAAACAGAAGTCATTCCAGATACTTACCAGCAAGGAGGGAGAGGAAGAGAGATAGCAGTCATTTGCAAAATGACTACTTTAGGGCTGCTGCTGATTGGCTTGGTCAAGTTTAAAGGGCCAGCCCCAGAAAGGCATGTTGGAGGGGAAAAAAGTTCCTCTGGAAGTTCCAATGGAAATATCCTCATATTGCAGTATATTAATTTAGTTGTATAGCTTCCTGGTTTATTAAACCATGTACACTGATAAAAATATCTACTAAGTCTCCTTTAAGGTGTGAAACGGCTTACTGTATTTGCACCGGAATGTATGTATTTTCTTCTAGGGGTCAAATCTGCTTAATTTACTCCTGCTGACTTTACCCTCTGAGCAAGAGGCAGTGTGCTGCTCAAGGGGAAGCCCCACAAAGCATTGTGCCAGCCACTCAGAAGCACAATTCCTCCAGAGAACCTCTCATACTAGTGGGGAAGAGGGTAGTCTGCAGTAGCACTTCACAGGTTGCAGCATGCTCCTCCTCCTATTATAGCTAGCCACTTCTGCTGTCTGTCTGGCATGTGGAGAAAGAAAGGGAGCCCTGGCTCCAACCATTTTCTTGTGAAGGGAGTGTCAGGCATAGAAACTTCTGCTATCCCTTCCACATGCAGAGGCACAATCTGGGTATGCTTTTTACAGTCACAGAAGAAGGATCTTAACCCACCTAATCTTCTGCACAGCTAGGGAGGAGGGCACTCTAGCCATACCTGACTTAGAGGAACAAGAACTGGTCCTTTATATGCAATGTGTTCCTTAACTAGACTAAAATTTGTTGAAGCTTTTTAAGCACAATAAATAACAGATCACCTGACCTCTGGTCAAAATACACAACATTTTGAAGTTGAGTAGCATAAACATGCTAACTAAACAGAAGAAACCAACTTAACAAGGAACTCAGGAATAACAGAATCTAGGCCATTGTCATGCTGTATGATACTATTTGATTCAGAATGATTCTAAATATGTGACAGTTCTTCCAAGCAATTTGAGATTTTTACCACTTTTTTTTTCAGCTGCTACTTTCCATGTTTAGCACCAAGGCACACCCTATATAACCTCTTCCTAAAGGCCAAATTATCTAAATGTCCCCCCCACTCCCCAATAATTTTGTGGCTACTAACAGTAGCTTGTAAATCAGACTTTTAAGTGAAATGACATAAATCAGAAGAGCTGATGATTGTAGAATGATCAGGTTTAGTATAATTTTACCAGAAAATTCTGTCGTATTTTCTCTGCTCCTACAAGAGCTTTGTTTAAAATGACTCTTATCATAGACCGGGGTGGCCAAACGTCCTGACCCTCTGAGCCACGTAGGACAATATTCAGAAGTTCGAGAGCCGGGGCACGCCTGGTGGGGTCTGGGGCTTCTGCCCCGTGAGAGGCACCTGCTGGAGCTCAGGGCTTCAGTCCCACGCCTGCGGAAGCCCTGAGACCCCTTTCCTGCTGGCAGAAGCCCCTACCCCACCACCCTGCTGCAAGGCAGAAGTCCTGAGCTACCCACCAAGTGGGGTAGATGGAGAATGGGGCGGGGAGCATGAGAGACTCTGAGCTGCACTTTAACTGTTTACCTGTAAAAGAGCCGCATTCGACTCACGAACCACTGTTTGGCCACCCCTGGGATAGACCAGGCTTGCACCTGGAAACATGCACAATGTAAGAGAGTTAAAATTCCAGTATTTATAGCATGTTGGGTACTTTGTCCCTTTAAATATCTTTAAATATAATATTTATTTGCAACTAGCAAGTGCATGCCACCCTTGTTGCCTGCTTGTAAAACAAAAAGAACCAGCTATTGACTTACTTTCTTATTTTTATATCCATTAGAAGAATATGCAGAAATAATTGCCATTAAAAAAGACAAAGGTGAGTTTGTAATTGGTGACTTCCTTGCTGTAAATTATTTTTCTTTTATAACAATCAGCGTCAACTGGATATTTTGTTAGATAGGCCATCTAGTCATTTTCAGAAGCATCAAATGTATCTAGCACAGTTATGAAGTGTGATATTGAGCTGGACAAAGAACTAACCTTCCTGTGCATCAGGCAAAAAGACCAGAGAGGGAAAAATTGCTCGAGTGAATACACTGGCATTTGTGACAAACCGTGCAGTGCTCCTCCATTTGATGGGATTTGGCAGTCAATAAACAGACCTTGCATCTGAGTTTCTATTACCGGGAAGCCCTGCAGTCTGTTTCATGTTAGACTGAAGAGCTAAACTTTCTTATATTGAATGAACAGGAAAGAATAAGATATAGGCATCAGAAAACCAATTGCATGAGAACTAATTTCTATCTAGTGCCAGCATTTCTCCTTTTATGTCCCCAAACATGTAATAGTCATTCCATGAAAAACTTTAATTCCAGAGTGTAATTAACATTCAAATGCAGTTACAAAATGCAACCTTCCTGACAAATTAGGCATTTTATCTTTTGACTTTGAGCTGAAAGACCATATTCTTCTGATCCTTTAAAAGAGCTGAGAGGGTAATGGAAAAAAAGTATGACTATAAAAGGCTGAGTTTCAAGTGGCACAAAGGTAGCAAAAATTCCCTACATATTAAAACCCTGGGAAAAAGATACTTCCATGTATGATGCTAAAGTTCTGAAGGAATGATAGGACTGGTCATTTGGAACAATTATTTGCGTATCTCCAACCATGAACAGTTGATAGAATTCTTCAGAGCATTCAGAATGGGTCATTGAAATACAGAGTCATGAAATGGATGCTTGGGTTGAAGGGCCTTTAAACACATACAGTGAAGCCATTCCAGGGAACAAATATTAGGACAGCTAGACAGAGTATATCTAAGGGAAATAATAGATTTATGTGGGAATGTTGAATATAATATGGACCACTCTCAGTTATGCTATAAAGGTCTCAGAGTGTTCAGAACATATTGACTTTAGCTAAAAATCCCATTCAGCTTTTCCTCTTGATGACTTAGAGTCTAGTTTCTTACCATGTTACTCCAATTTTATGCCACCGTTAACACAGTTAAAGTTAATGGAGTTACACGAGAATTAAACTGGAGTAATACAGTGGTGAGTCAGGCTCACCATCTGGAAACTGTACATATTAACAAATTGTTTGTCTTCTGTGTTTCCCTAGCTCCAGTCCGCTTCTTCCAATGTGTCTTCCTAGATGGATACAATGGATATGGATTACAATTCCCCATTACTCCAGCTCCCAGCCATGAAAAGAGACCTGGTCATTCAAAGACTTCAGGGCGGAAGTCAAAGACACCAGGACAGTAGAGAGACATATTATCTGTGTATTTTTGAGACTTGGCACTTTATCCCTTCTACTGAGGTCCACAGTAACTACAGTGGTACTTGTTACTGTAGAAATGTGATCCAGTAGATCTCATGCACCTGGAAACGTTTTTTACTGTCTGGTGCTGAGGGAAAAGAGGTGGTGGATGAACACTGTTCATCCAAACAATACTAATATTGTTCTTGAGGAAAGGCTGTGGTGTTGAAATAGTGTTTGTCAGATTGTGCAGTTTGTTTGTGCATGTGCATTTTCCTGCCTCTTCTGCTCTTCTTATTTTCCCCCTACCTGTTCTGAATTCAAGTACGTCTATTTTCCATGTAGTAATTTTTAAAGAGCAAAAAATATAAATGCAAGGATTATTTCAATAAGATTATTTTGCAAGATTACCTGGAATCCTAAATCATATCCTGTCAATGTTCAATCAGATCTCTGATATGGAAAAAACCTCAGTAAATCTGAAAATGTGCTCCATGACTGGTGCTATTTTTATGTATAATTGACCAGTTTAGAATGAAGCTCACATCTTACCTTTAAGCTGCTCAGTATGCTATAGAAAGGTTCACTATCCAAACAGTTAATGATGAGTATTTACATTTAAGTTGAAGGCAAGCAATAAAATCTTGCTATATTTGCCCCTTAAGTATATGTAAAATCATAACACCTCATTTTCCCTTTCATTTTGAGATCTGGGGAAGTGAGCCAAGGGGGGCCTGCCAAAAGAGAGGTGAAGCAAGGAGGTATACTGTGAAGATCTCATGAGTGGGAAGGAAATTCTTTTACTTCCTCTGTCTCTTCTTGGACAAAGTCAATATCAAGACAACACAGACTGCAGATAGATCATGCTGGCCAATCATTTGTTAGAAAAAGTCAGACAGGAAGCTATATCATCGGACACTACTTGTGAAACAAAACCAAATTTTCAAGTAAAAATGCCAACATGATACAATCTTGGAGCAATCAGCAAAAACAGGGTATGTGCAAGAAATCTTGATAGTTAATTTTGCTAGATAAGATGGAAGGCCTCATAAGCTATTAGCTGGGCCTCTGTCAAAGTGCACTGTATTGTCAGTTACTTTTAGGATGGGTGCAGCAGGTAAACATGCCAGTCCTCAACCATCTTGTTTATTTCTTCAGATAGTGTGGATTAGCTATGTTAAAGAAAAGGGATGCGCTGGTACTTGACCTATGTGAAGGTGTCTGATTGTAAATCAGTGTTGTGATTGTCTGTACATGTCTAGCAATGTAAATAATAATGCATTTTTGCAAGCTGCTATTTTTCTTCCTTACTATATTTATGAATTTAACCTGTGAACCACACAGCTGTGATCCCAGTTTCATAGTTACCATTTGAAATACCATGAATTTTAACATGATAATTCATGAAATAAATCTGCTCACACCTGTAAATCATATATAGCTTTTTTTTTTTTAGTATAGCTCAAGATAACATCACCATAACACTGATGCTTATCTTGATAGGAAGATTGACTTACATAGGTTTCAGATAACTATGTCCCAGAAGGACTCAGGCAATTTATAATGGGATGTGGAGTTTTTTACCTCTAGGTCACTGGGTCAGATTGGTAATGGCTGAAAGTTGTTACTTTCTGATTGATGTTCAGTGGCCTATATGAAATGAGTTCTTGGTCTTAGCACACTCTGTGTTATGCATGTACCTGCCTCTCAAAATCTACCATCCCACTAGATGGCCTTGACAGCCATTTAGAAATGCAATTACCATCTTGTGTCTAGGGCTTGTTCTTCCCAATCAGGAAGGGGACACATTGGGGATGTGGTTGTAGAGTGCTCTGACTCTGCAGTAACCAGAGCTGTAAACCTGGAACTCCCGGGGGTTTTTCAGCAGGACTTCCCCCTCCCCCATAGGGGTCCCCATCCCCTCAATGTGTCTTTTGTGGCTCAACACAAATTGTGTGTATTTCAGTGTGTCGTTACACAGGTTGCTGTCCTATGATTTTCCTACTAAGGCTGTCTTAATGAAGGGATTATAACTTTCAGAAGGTCAGCTCATTTAATTCATAGCGTTATCCAATTCAAATGATCAGCACGACATTTAATTTTTTATATATTCACAAGCTGTTGTGGTTTTTTAGCTTTTTTTGACACTTAATTTCTCTTTTTGTTCATGATGACTTGGCTGTTTCTCCCATTGCAATTTGATTTGGGAAAGGACAAGAATGTTTTTTAAGAGCCCGTTCCTCTAGCATTTCAATTAGATATCAGATTGGCTCTGAAGAAGTAAAACATTTGATCTTTGCTTCAATGGACAAGTGATGTAAATCTGACTATAGACAGTCACTTCCTAATCTTGGCCACTGATATGAAAACTACTGGACACTCCTCGGTCAAAATGGCAGTCCTTTTCCTTGGGCCTTCATAAACTGAATTTATCTGAAACCTTAACAATGCATTACTTGAATTGCATGGCTTTACTTAAATCAGACTGAAATGTTATTAAAATGTATGCTTATTCTCATCAGTTTTGGAAAATAAAACATATCTGCCTCTAGCTATTGGATGTTTTTTTATGAATCCAAGAATGGGGAAAAGTGATTTGTAAAGGTAACTTGGTTCACCCATGTTATGGGTACACACAAGCCTTCTGAATTCAGGAGAGAGTATCTTTCTGCATGGGGGATGTGCTTGAGGGGGATTTTCCTTTTAGAATCATAGAAGATTAGAGTTGGAAGCGACCTCAGGAGGTCATCTAGTCCAAGCCCCTGCTCAAAGCAGGACCAACACCAGCTAAATCAGCATCACAAGGCATAGCAAGATGAATCCATTCTACCATACATCACTCCTAGAATCCTAGGTCTACATAAGAATCATACAAATAAATTAAAAGTATTATTAAAATGTTTATATAAAACATATTAAACCACATGTTCTTTCCAGTGACTAGTCAGTAGTCCACACAATCGGCAGTATGACCTCTTACCAGCAGACACAGAGAGAGAGAGAGAGAGAGAGAGAGAGAGAGAGACAAGGATAACAAAACTTTGTGACATCTGCCCTTATGAAGGGAACTGTATCAATGCAGCAATCCAATTGACTAGGTAGAAGCTTCCACTGAGGAGGATTTTGTCTATTATTTTCTAGCTTGTCAATATTGTTATTGACCAGATATAATATATATTTTCTGCTACTCTCTTTTTCTTGTCGATAAGATTAGACCTTTATTTTGAGAGATCTCAGTCCCCAGAGCGCCTGCTGAGGTTAGTTGGAGCTGTTGGTGCACAGCATTTCTGAAATCAGGCCATGAGCGATCTCTGTGAGAGCTCCATACAGAGTGGGCTGCTGGTCTGAGTCTCCTGCTCCTCAGGCGTGGTTATTATCCTCAACAAACAGGCCACAAAAATTAGTCCACTTTCAAACTGGTTTAGAGAACTTTTAAAGCAGGCACCTCTGCAGAAGAACAGATTAGATACAGGTGGTGTTCATGGTTATACACTAGTCCTCTCCAGGGTCTATGAGTCTTTGTCTCCATCCAGCAGATTGAGTCCCTATTGACAGCTCAAAACTAGATAATCACCAATACTTAAAGCTTGTTGTCTGCTCTTCAAGAACTGGTTTATCTGAATGTTCAGTTCAGGACTGAGCAGGCAAGTCCGTCTTATTGGCAGAGCCATATATCCTGGAGTTTGAAAGCTCAGCTTGTGCCACTGGCCATAATTACAGGCTAGCTATACTCCAAGTGGTGGGCTCTGTGCAGCCTGTACCATTGGTGATCCCCTATGCTCACTTGCACAGGTACCCTTATCCCAACTAGGGCTGCACTCAGCCTTTCTGTCTCCTCCACCAGACCTGAAACTAGAAGTTGCAAAATGATGGGATTACCTTTGGGCACCCCTTTCTCAGGCATGAGATTTTGCTTTTTGGGGGGAGGTCTGCCATAGGTCATCACCCCTTCCTGCTGAGCAGGATTCTCTCACTGCCACTGACCTCTTGCCTCATTAGGACCTGGAATGAACAATTGCTTTGGTGGGGGCCATGCAAGTTCCACTGGGGTTAGTTTACCCTATTGCTAATGAAGTATTTTTGTCCAAAAATATCACCATGTAGGCTGGCCTTTTCGTCTGAGAAACTCAACTTGGTCAGATGGTGGCACAAAAAAATGTTATTGTCGAGCAAAGAGTATGATGTTAATCAATTACCTAGACACCAGAGCCAGGAATACCCTCTTACTTTTTAGTTGTGACCTGACGGGCAGGGTGGGGAGAACTGAGATTAACAGTGTGACCACAGTCATTTGTATATAACCAAGGGAACACAACTGGCAGAGGCATAGTCAGTGAGGCCCCCTGTGTAGTCTTCTAGGCCAAAAGCACTCTGGTCACCCCATCAGTAGTGTGTGAGCACTGAACTACAGTGCATAGTGGCTGAATTCTGATCAGCTCCACCAAAACAATGAAGATGCCACATTTAGAGTTCATCCTAATATTTCAGAAGTGGGGGATGCCGCAAATGATCCCTACAGTGAACAAGAATAAAAATGGTTTTCATAGAACCATTTATTCAAGGATCTCAAAGCACTGTACAAATATCACTATTCCTAATTTATATATAGAAGATTCCAGCCTTCTGCTAGGTCTAAGACTATCTAGCAGCAGGAGCTGCTCTACCTTCACCTATAGTGGTTAGACCTGACACCTGCCTTCCATGACCTTCTGCCTGAAGAGCAAAGTTCTCAAGGTAATAGTGCTGTCCAAATCCATGGTCAATTTGGTAGCCCTGGGCCTTGGCTCCTGGAACTCCAAAACTCATCTCTTCTCAACAAGCAGTTCTCCATGAATACCCACCCTGGTCACCTGTATTTGCCAGCTTGACTCTTGAGTGGCTGGGCATGAGAGAAACTGGTCCCTTGAAGCAGGTGGTAACCACAACACTGTGTACATGCAGAAGTCTATATTCTCTGCTACAAGAGCATTCTTGATTTCAGGGCTTATCCAGAGAAAGACAGGTGGCTTCTTTACTGACTTTGCACTTTCTCCAGAATGTCCTGGACAAGGACTGACTGCAAATTTGTTATGGTACCAGATTTAGTTGTTAGCATTAGGCAAGGAAAGGCTGAACAGTCATTGTATGTCTTAGCAGCGATAACCTGGAAGTAGCCAGAGTCCTTCAGCAGTTAACAAAATTAAGTTGAGGTTCCAGACTTCAGTAGGCAACCCAAACTGTAACCTTGTCATGAGGCTAGCATGCTAGCTTGCTATATTTTCAGGTCAGATCACTGGCGCTCTGTAATAAACTAGCCCTATAAATTCAGGTAAACAGTCCATAGGACCCTTACTTATCCCTCCAAACCCTGGAATAAAGCATCAAATAAGTTTCTCATTTTAAAGAAAACGTTCCTGGTGAAATCTCAGCCAGGATCATGACGGAGTTACAGGCCCCTTTTGCCAAAGGGGTGGGGGAATTGCAAAAGTGCCAAACTCACTTCAGAGCATAAGTCCCATTGAAAGTCAATGGAACTGGTGCTCTTAATCACTTAGCTACATTTGAAAAATCCCATCTTACAAGCTTCTGATATGGCAGCTGTTTGTCACTAGGACAAAGCAGTGAGCAAAAGAGCCCTTTACATCCTTCCAAAGGGGCCTTCCAACTTCAACCCAGCTCAGGAGGTGGTCTGCCTTTTTATCCATTTTCCAGAGGCAAAAAAAGAGAAAAGATTCCTAAATATGAGGCAAGTGTTATCCATATACCTGACAAGGACACAAGACATCAGGAGATCAGACCATCTGTTCATCCTGCATGGAGGGCTCCAAAAGAGCTGGAAAACCTTTCTACAGTCACATAGGCGAAGAAGCAGATTATTCAGCTATGGGCAAAAAGCCTCCCTTAGCCATCAGAGTTCACTCAAGGGACGCCTCATACCTTGAATTAGATAAGGCAAATATATGACTATCCTTGTACACTTCCTGCCTTCACAACCGGCTTGGTGTGTGGAGGCCTGTGAAGGTCTCTTCCTGGAGAGCCACATCCACATCCCTGCTCATGTCTCAGTGCCTGCCGTATGTTGGTTATTGCACTAGATATTTCTATAGCATTTATCCAGCTAGTGACAGGAGGTTGTATTACCTTCAATCTGGACTGACAAATTATTGGACAGGATTAGCAACAAAGAGAGTGACCTTTCCTGATGTGTGATATAGCTCATTGTTGCAATCCTAAAACTATCTCACAGTTTGTTCCTAATTGGAAGTACATTTGTTCTAGCTATTGTAAGCAAAGTGACATGCAACAGGACAAGAAAAAAAAAAGAAAAATCCTTTTGAAATCAAACCCCCAAATTGAATAATTGCAGCTGGTGTGGAGGATAAAATGAAACAATCCCATCTGTTTCTTGCTTTTTTAATGGAGAGACACCACACAGTGATGGCCTGTAGCATTAATCAGGCCAATTAAAAGGAGAACAAAGTAGAGATCTTTACACACCTCTATTTTAAAATATTTATACGGGGTGATGGGCCTGTGGAGATGGAACTGCACATTAATTATAGCAGCCATCTTCCATGCTTTTCCTTTCAGAAGAGGAACAAGGCACGGTAGAAGCCCAGTACTCCATGCTGTTATATTAGAGCCAGGCTGTAGCATTCAAACAAGAAGCAAACCAACAAAAACAAAAAAACAACCTATCATCAAGCCAAAATTATGAGAGCTTTCTCTCTCTCTCTCTCTCTCTCTCTCTCTAGCTAGCTTGTCTTGTCAGAGTTGACATAGCCACCCTTTCTTAAAACAGTGGATTGTTTTTGGGGGGCATAGGAGGGAATGATGAGTGATGGATGTGTCTTTCTTTGGCCACTGTGATGAGTCTCGATTTCCAATGAGAAGGTCTGAATGAGCCATTGCTGCATGAGAGATTTTAAAGCATGTGGTTGTTAACAGTATGTTCTGATGCCATACACACATATATAACCAAAGGTCAGCCAGTGAGAATGATGGTACCCACCTTGGCATAATGAGATATCCAGGAAGTTTGTAAAGCGGAGCAAGGAAACTGTAAAATTGTCATTCAAATTAATTTAGCAGAGTCGTTCTTTTAAACAAAGTAGCAAAATATAGAAATGATTTTAAGGCAGCAGAATTAGAAAAACTCTAAGAAAATGTCTGGGTTTGTTTGTAATGTTAAAAATATTATAGCTTCTTGATTAGTACTAACAAATCCTCTTCCTTGTAATTGTCAAGCCTGTTTTTTCAGACTATACCACAGAAGAGGTTAGCCTCTCCTGGGTCCAATCCAGGGTCCATTGGAGTCAGGGGACTTCTATTGACTTCAAGGGGGCATTGGGTCAGGGGTGCTGGAACAATTTGTACACTGGGGTTGCTGAACCATTGAACCAAACTGTAAACTCTGGATATGATGGGAACCACTTCAAACCAGGGGTGCAGCAGCACCCCTACATCCAGCACCTATGCATTTGGCTCATGTCCTAGATGCACTTTTCTTTTTTAAATTATTATTTCTTATTTAAATTATTATAATTATTATTAAATTATTTCAC